CTCTCAGTAACAGCATCGACACTGAAAATGTTCATATCAATAGTTTTACTGTCGTTTTTCCCTATATTAGAATTTTCTCCTGTGTCGTGGCTCTTTTCAGCACGTGAACGCAGTGACAGGCGGCAAGCCACCATAGACATGATATTATTTGTCAAAGGTAGGTACCAAATTACCAATAATCAATACAGTATTTAATATTAATCTGTGAAATATTACGATACATACTTAGCCTTATATCTGCTAATAATCATAAATAGTGGTAACATAAAAAGGCTCACCGTATTTTGATTAAAATAGTTTGCAGGGTTGGAACACAGATGCAAAGTATTTTTTTTTTTTTGAGGTGGAACTATCGTGACATGAGTTCTCTCGTCAAGGGTTAGACGAGGATCTCGGCCCAGAGCAGGAGAAGGAACGTTTTTAGTCAGTAAGAGTCTGACACTCCCTCCTCCCACCCGGCCCGGGGCGGGAGTAGTCATTGGACGATTTTCCCCTAACAAAAAAAAAGGGTTATCCGAGAGGGAGTGTCCTCTTGCTGACTAAAAACCAATTCTTTTCTTAATGCGCTTGCCCCGCAACGTTCCTATGCGTCTGTAGGTTTCCCGAACAATGAATGACGTAACGAATGATCCATAGATCTATGTGCAAACTTTGATTTATAAACGAACATAAAAAACGAAAACAAATTAAGGAACATTATTTAAAAAATATATAATTAATAAAAATCTACTCTATATTCAATGCACGAAGACTTTTTGTATGCATTCGAAACACATACACATGGCTTGTCCACACACCGACAAATTACAACCGGATGTACCTACTTATATGAGCTCGCTATCCCTTTAAACCCGACAATAGTTCGACACTGACTGACACTTATGCAGCTGTGATTTCGCGAACGTTTTTATCAGTTTGTAGGAGAGACAAATAGGGAAACAATAGGTGCGCGAACGCCGGCGTTCGATTGGGGCTTGGTGAATTAATTTGTACCATGTTCAAAATGCTTCGTAAGAATATATAGTTACACTTGTAGATCCGATGAAATCTGTACCAATTCGACTCCATTTAAAAAAAAATACGGTAACTTATAATAAATTACCCCCTTATAATACATAATAATAACAAAGAATATGATAAAATCATTCCGAGTAGTCCAAACTTTTAAAGTACTTGTTGCAATTTAACTTTACACGATAGCCCGAACTGCCATATTGAAACTAATTTAAAGATTCAGTCAAAGAGAATAGACCGGGCGCGCCAAACGACAAGGAGCCTGTTAGTGACAGACTAGAGACAGGGCAAAGGATTCAAAATTCTAGACTGAATTGGCGAGGAACTAAGAGAAAACTTTCGTGGAACTACAATGTCTAAGTTGAAAAGTAAAGTGACCGGTTTCCATACAAAACTTTATAAGAGCATCTTCTATTAAACTTAAAAGACCTCTATGCAAGCCGACCGTTGATAGAACAATATTGATTTCATAACTCTGTGTGACGTTATCCGATATTACTCACTATCCCCGTTGCCAAATATTATTCTTTATTCAGCCATTGCGTCGAACACATGTTATGCACTCCAACAATGCGATATATTGACAGCATATCTATTGAAAAAAATGGCATGTGACAGATGACCGTTACTTTACACGAGCCGTCGCTGTAGCAAACCAATTAGCGGATAAAAGCATTTCAACAAACAAAATATTTTGCTGTCACAATACGTGAAAATCGAGGTGAAAATACCGTCTACTAAAAGCCTACAGTAAACCTAATTTTAGAGTTTCGAGTAAATTATTCTGTCCGTTACCTGTCAATTCCATACAAAATATGGAAAAAAAATCAGTTAAAATTCGAACAATCCGACCCATGAGAGGTAACATTTACAGTATCAAATTGAATGGTAACATGGCGCAGGCAATTTGCTTGTCATGTCCAACAAACCATTGCTGATATTACAGAAAGAGTACCAGGAGCAATTAGCCACTATAAAACCGCAGGCTAAATTCAAACGGAAAGGAACGTATGACAGGCTGATTGGAAATCTGGTTCAAAACTGCGATGCAATTTTCAACAGGTTAAGTGGTAGCAACGACTCAAAGGCGGATAAAGGAACAAAAAGAAAATAGTGCCACCTATCTAATCCCTAACATAAATATCATCATCTCATATTATTGAAAATTGGAGGCTTACTCAAGTTTAGTAAGCTTTGGGTATGTCTCACGAGATTATACAAAAAAGGGCACTTACATAATCATTGTAAACCTATCAATTTTATTTTGAGTAAAGTTTGAAAACGATATGAAGTAGCACTAATTAATATGACATCAAAAAGGGCACTGATTGCCATTAGAAGATACAAGTTTTCCGATCAATATTTTTGTATCATAATATTACAATATATCCAACATCCAATCCCCTGTCGACATGTCATGTTACATAGGTACTTGTTTTATTTTGTAGAGTAACATAGTTACAAAGTCTATACTTTCAAATTGCATGTCCAACAAACAAAAGTCACTAGTAAAGCCGAGTTACAATAGGTGTTAGAAGGGTAATTTTACTACCATAAAGGAAAGTATTGGACATTTCCTTTAGAAAAATGAAGAAATAATTTTACAAAGTGAGTGATGCCGCACTAGCGACAAAGAAGGAACTAACAGATTTACGTATCCGCGTAAAATAACATCATGATGACTATTTTTCCAAACGATATTAGTACATGCTTTGTAAAATTATTAAAAAACTACTGATACATAAGGTGACGAAAAACACAATGCGTTGTGAGAAAACTTGGGCGATCGATGAGCTCTTCGACTCCAAACGATAGGTGACGTTCTAAAGGCTTTTATGGAGAAGAGAGAGTAAGTTCGAAGCATGATTAGGTAAGGTTATGGTGAGATTTGAATTTAAAAAATAATACCTAATAAGAAATTATAAGTTCAGGTTTTCTCACTTACATATAACTTAGAAAAAGTTCATTCTCGCAAGTCAAAATAACTCTTTAAAATGGTCATAATTCAAAATCAATTTCTAGGTATCTACGCTATCCGATGCTGTCACCAGGGGCATGGCTTCCAACGTTTCCCATGACTCGAGGTAATATATCAAGTTGAGAAGCAGTGTCAACAAATAATTGACCTAAAACTTTGACTTAGTTATTGCGAGCGCCGTTTTCTCATTAGATAGTGCTTCGATCACCGTATCGATACACTGTATTAATGAACAAAGAACATTAGAAGAAGAATTTTAGCTTTGAAACTTATGCGTTTAAGAATTGATCTGTATTACAGCACTCACATACCGGATAAAAAGAGACATATTATGTATAATATAATATTTTACAAAAGTATTAATAACTGCTTATCACGCTATCCTGTTGCTTAATAAGTTTAGTGCCTGTTTTATCACCAGCATAATTATGGTGCAGATTTCCCAAAAAGTAAGGCTTGTACCGGAAATCAAAACGTTGAACTGAATCGAAGCTAAAACTTTATGAATAAATAAGGAACCCCGTTCCGATAATTATTGTGTAATTTACCGTAATTTCAGAGTATTTTATTTACACTATTGTAACTTAAGATACTGCTTACAGATGAAACTATAATAATAAAAACGTAAAAGTTAAATTCTTTAAACCCAGTTTTAACTTAATCAACTGACTGGTGGCTTATCGCGTAAAAAATATATAATCTCTGGTTTTCGCTAAGGTAACCTGCTTGCAACAATATTGAAAAGTTTTCTATATGTCCCATTTTAAAATAAGTGTGAAAAAGTTACTTATATCTAACTTACCTTTTGATGTTTTCATCTCGTAACAGGAACTTTCTTCTTTATCTTGCAAGATCTTTAAATTTCTTACCTTATGAATTTAGATTCGTTGCATCCAGTAACATGTTTTTGTGAAATTTATGAATAAAAATAGGATATAAATAATAGGATCATACTCACTCATAATAAAGGGATACATTTCCTTAATTATTTTCTAGCTACGAGCTATTTGACAAACCACTGACATTCTCATAGCAAGGGCCAGACCAAAACCACAACGTAATTAAGCTTAGCTCAGCCATGAACCAAGCTATAGAGCTGTTGTTTAATTATTTTATATTAAGACTGAATATACTATATTTATGACTAAGCTTTTTTTAAGAGTAACGGACTCCTCATTCTTGGCTAAAGTACGTTTCATAAAAGGTGTAACATGGTGGAACTTTTTGAGACTTGGTTGAATAGGTTACTTTTGGCCAAAGTTTTCTTCATCGTTAGTCTCATTATTGCTTACCAAGCAAACCATCCAAGAAAGAATAAAAACAAACAGCCTAAACCACTACAAGATTTAAGACAAAAAAGGGATTCCTTTGTCTATTTTATTCTATATAATCCTATCGTAGAAATTTTAAACAATTTTACGAAAAACATATCTAGCCTAAACACAAATTTTAAGAACTTCCTATAAACTTCAAACAGCTTGGTCAGTTTAGTGGAATACATGCTAATCGACTGCATAAACCATTTTATTAAATTTCTTCGTCGTGGCTTTTAAATTAATTAGCTGATGTCACTTGGAACCATGGCAAACTAGAGCTTAAGTGATTATCGGCTTTAATATTTGTATTATTCTAACTGTTTTACCGGAAAAACCTGTATATACATTTATAAAGCATATGCTGTAATACTTTTAATAAAAAAGATTTTTGAATGAAATAAATTTAATTTTTACGTTATTTTTCCTCTGCCGTCAATATTAATTATTCAAAAATCCCAAAGCTGTTTAAAATTTACAGTTTTAACACATAAAATATGCAGGATAAAACGAATGGAGGGTGAAAAGCTAGCGTGTACCACAATACAGCGTGAGGGAGGCGTGGCGAACTGGCGATGCGAGAGTCAAACTGCGAACGCACCTTTTGTTAACATTTACCCGATGACTCCGATGGACAAAGGAACTCCAATTAAATGGATTCGCTATCTGAAATCGGTTATGTAGCTAAATCTTACCTTTTGCCGGTACATAGCAGCCGCCTTTGTGTTGTACTTCTGAGGTATTGTCATGCCGGGCTTGTAGTCCGACGAACTCTCGAAGAAATCTCGAGCCTTCCCGTTGCCCCCTACCTGTTAAACAAACATAACATACAACATAAATACACATTTCATTTAACAAAGAAATTTCATCTACTTCAGAACATAGTTATCATTTATGTACATATGATGCTTCTAAAATTATCCAAAGGAAAACAGTAACGCCATCTAGTAGCCTTTCGGAGAACTTATCATATTTTTGCATAAATTTATCAATTAGCCCTTGCGTTTTGCAAGAAATTAAGTCAATATTAACATTCATATTAGGTAGAATATATATAAATAAATCACTTGCGTGAGTTACTTTTAAGACCCCTGTTCAAAAAATACTCGAGAAAATAGAGAAGCGAGACAATTGCTAGACATCACAAACATCGTTTAAGTACTCTAACAATTTCGACAACGTAATTTAAACCGAAGTGCTATGAGCAAGAGGTCTAAAATCGAAACGCAAAGCCCACGAGATTACCAAATAAGCGTGAATTGCTACAACAGGCCCCATACGTACCATAGTGGCGAGCTCGACGGTAGGACAATTGGCGACAATGTACTTCTTATATAAAAATGTAACAAATATAGCCGTAAACGTCAATCCCGGCTGAAGCCGCGGTGAATAATGGCAAAATATTCCTACAGCATTGATATATCACGGAGCGAGAAACAGGAACAGGGTCATTACAGTATAGGGCCACCTGTCACCGCTATGCACTATTGTAATCTTCGAATTAAACTTCACCTCGAGATACTACGCATCACACTGATATGCAACTATACTACGTTTCATTTGATTTTTGTTTCGTTCCAGAGATTTATTGGATTGCTTTTTTTTTTAATCTGCGAAAACTAGTCGCCGAATAACTGCAATGTATAGGACGGTGTATTTTTACGATACAATGTGAATTCGGCTTCAAGATGACTTTGTTTTTATATACGTCTGTCTTGCTTTTAAATAAGAAGTTAAGTTAACGTGATATACATTATTTTAAGTGCCTAACTTAGCATACAATGACACGTAATACCTTTGCATATATTATATATTTCAGTGATCTAAAAAGCCAAGAAATGTAAAGATTATAAAAAAAAGGGAATTAAATTAAGAGCTCTAAAATTTAACCACTTTTGACACTTTCGGTGACTATCACAGACAAGAAGACGTTAATATTTCGGGCATGCAATATCGAGTATCGTGTATTTCACAAACTCATTGTGCCAATTTGTGTAAGCAAAAGGAAATTATTTCTCCCGTTTCTTTTATCTTTATAATTTTCTTTTAACAGATAAAATATGTTTTTTTCCAAAAACAGGAACTGTTTTTAATAAATACTGACTATATTTTTTTCATAGCTCAACACTGCATAGTCGTTTCATAATATAATCAAGCCAGAACGGAAACCGAGGCACCCCCTGCATATTATATACCATAGCATCAATTTGCCAATTGAAGCATATTTGTACTAACCAGAACTGGGTCTCAAGTACAAAATGATGCACAGGATCTATCTACTTCAATAGAGATTGTTCTAGAAATTGATATGAAGGAAAAGACAAGGAAAACGTTTTCCAATATTTGGAGGAAAAATGTTTAAAATCAGTTCGAACGTAATCAATTTTTTTGTGTTGTTAAATCTTTGAACTTTACTATGAAAGTACATAGTAGGTACAGCTAAGATACAATGTGTGCGGGTCCTATTTTATTTGGATGAGCATAGATGCCTGCATTCTCTAAACCGAAGTATAGATGCATGATGCAATTCGATTTTAAAATACACGTAGTTCCTTAATACGATAAAAACTTTATTTGAATCTCTATCGAAATGAATTAAAAATGAAGTGATAGACAGTTTTTTTGAATATACTTATTTTCTTTTAGTATTAGTTCAATTAATATTTATAAACAAAAAATTAGTGCAATGATACTTAATTGCACTAATTTTTTTAGAATTCAGAATTCTGCACGTCGTGTCGCAAGCAAACCGATTTAAACAAGAGACATTTCAGTTCTCATAAAATATATTTGCAGTAAAAAAATCTTTAAAATTAATAACTTTAACAGCCTATCTATGTAATGGTGATCACACCCAAAATATCTCGCTCAGCGGGAGTCGCTTACATACGAACTAAAAACTTAGTATCGGTAAAGATAAAAACTGGGTATGGTTTTAGCATCATTAGGTATTAGACCAATTTATTAGAAATAACGAAATATCGTAAAACATATTAATAACATTGAAAATAACGAATAATACTCAAGTGAATATACTGAGAAGAAAAGCTCTACTAGGAGACTTCGGCTACGCGATGTCAGTCGCCGTGACACTAACGCTGCTCATGTATTAAAGTCCAGTATGAATTGAGACTAGGATAGCTTTCCTCAGTTAATTAATTCACGTCAGTAAGTCATTACTTTCAATATAATTAGTATATTTCACGATAATTACTATTCAACAATATAAGACAAATCATATCAAGTACAATACAATATTATAATTTCTACGATATTCGACTTCTAACGACCACAACTATAGATAAAAATATTATTTTAGCCTACACCTGTAAAAGACTAGTGTTTAATAAATACAGTATAATTAATTGTTAACAGTCGCGCAAAAGACAATAAAGAAATAATTCGCCGTAGCTATGTGTATGCGCAGGTAAAACTTACAATTAACATTGAAAAGATAAGTGAATTATAAATGTTACATAATAACAGCTTAAGATTAAGTTATTAAATGTAGATACATTCAGATGAGTACGGCAGTCAGACCTTATTTTATAACTTCTAGTCATGGTCCGATTATTGTAATTGGTGGGTTAATAGAAGTCCTATTCAGATATTATTTATTATGCCAAGCATAACTACGCTTTTAGTACTTTCAGCTTATCAGAACAACATTTCTAGGGCTAAGTATAAATTCTAAACCCCCTTGTGTACAAAGATATGTCCTAAAATATGAACAATGCCGCGTGTCCGAGAAAGATAAGTAACGGAACGGTTTTTAGTCAGTAAGAGTCTGACACACAACCGCGGGAGAGGTCATTCAAAGATTCTAGACCACAAAAAGAAAGTCGAAATAACCACTAGTTAAAATATTGATAAGTCCTAACTACTGACGAGTGTTCTAAATCAATCTTTACTATGTAACTAGTTTATCACTTAGTAAAAATCTTTACATCGATTTGAAGTAAACGACAGCAAAAGATAAAAAAAATGTAGCGATAATTTACAGCATAGATGTTATCATTTCGGATTTTTTTTAATGTACATTATTTACCACTGTACAACTAATTGAGTAAATCACACAAATTATCTAAACACAACTAAACAGACGAAGTCGACAACCAAACGTGTAATATAATTAAAAACTATTTGGAATCCTACTATCCTACAATTTCTATTAATATCCTACTAACATAAATGTGAATGTTTGTGAGAATGTTTGGAAGTTCTTGGGCTATCACGCAATAATGACTGGACCGTTTAGACCGAAATTTGCTATGTCTATAGGTGATTCCCTGTTTTAACAGATAGGCTACTTTTATCAACATACCACGGAGGCAGTGCGGACGGAAGCCAGTTATAAATTAAATATTTGTTACGTATTTTTCCAATTGAGACTTTAGAAGATAGATGTTTAATTATTTCGCCTGTTGACCAAATAAACATGATTGCTTTGAATATAATTCATTTTGTTGGTTATATGTCATTCCCGGGTAGATACACTAACCTACTTTATCTTTTTTGGACATAATAAGAAACGCGCCTAGGAGTCGCAATATCTATACTAATATTGTAAAGAGGTAAAATTTGTAAGTTAGTATGTAGGGGGTAATCTTTGGAACCGCGGGTCGGATTGCTAAAATTCTTTCACTGATAGATAGCTACAATGTTCCTGAGTGCTATAGGCTATAAAACATCACGCTACGATCAAATGGAGTCAAGCAGCTGGTGAAACCGCGTGAGAGTAGCTAGTTATAATATATAAAGAAACTTCACTAGACATAACATAACAAATACAAAACGTTCAATTCTAATAACACATTATCTTATCATTCAATGTTTGATTATATCCGCACTAAGTTCAACTACTGATTCACTACTATCTGCTTACTACGTTACTAAATGTTACAGCATTTAGAACCTTATGACATAGAAATTAAGTGTCAAATAACGTTAAAATTGATAAGCATGTGATGCTGGCTAATTAATTATCGCAGTAAGTATGTATCTTCAAATTATTGAATAAAAATATTTTAAGTGTGGGAGCGCCAATCTTCGGCACAAATGTGTCGGCTAGACCGGAGTAATACCGCGGTCTCACAGAAAACCGGCGTGAAACAACCACAGCGTTGTGTTTCGCCTTGCGAGAGAGTATTACCGGTGGCCCAAGCATTCCTCTCCCCCATCCTGAAACCCTAATCCTCAAAAGGCAGGGAACGCACTCGTAACTCCTATGGTGTTTCGGGTCCATGGGCGGTGCCCATTGCTTACCATCAGGTAAAGTTAGCTTGTTTGGTGATCTATCTGATATAAAATATTCTAATATTAAATTTTATTTATGTTCACCGTGCGAGTGAGGTTACCGAAGGCTAAACAACCTAGTATCACAATTGCAAGTCCTCTTGTGTTTATGGGGAACGTCGATAGCTTAACATCAGGTGATAAGGAAGCACGTTTGCCTCTCTGCACCTCAAAAAAAATGTACCCTATAGTTCGTTCCATAATTAGAGACAACAATTTGACAACAGCAAATGTCAAACTACAAAATAATATGGCCAGATTTTTTATCATAGTGATGGGCCCGAGTACGATGTTTTAAATAAAATACCGATACCGGTTTTTTATAAAATACCCTGAGCAAAATAAAACATCGTTGCGGTTATGTTTTTATAGTTTAGTGGAATTAATAATAATAATTTAAAATAAAAATGCCAAATCCAAGACTGGCTAAAAGAAAAACGTTATATTTGAGGAAAGCCTATGCTGAAAGCCGAACTGTTAGAGATTTCCCGGAAATAGAAGAGTAATTATGAAC